TATTACATTAGTTTGGCCAAACCATGAACAATTAATTCCTCTCTAATTATTTGTCTTTCTTTATTTATGTGAAGACTGTTTTATAGTGATAGTCATATAATTCCTCCGCATGTCTTGCTAAGTAGGCTCCCAGATATTTCATACATTCTGTGGTAATTTTGAATAGAATTTTTTTTCTTACTGCTTCTCTTTCTTCTGTGTTTTACTAGCAGTACACATAAAGGTTTACTATATTTGTGGGTTTATTTTCTATCCTGCTACTTTAATGACATAGACTGTTTCTTTTCATTTTGAGTTGAACTTCCAGGGTTCTATAAGCAAATATTATCTGCAAAAAGTGAGAATTTTATTTTTTCTTTGCCTATGCTTATTTCCTCAATTTCTTCCTCATTTTATTGCTATAGTTGGTATTTCTAGAATTTGTTTTATTGTTATGGCTGGTATTTCTAGAATAAATAACAGTGATGACAATGGACACCCTTGTCTGGCATAGTAACCAGCCAAACGTGATTAGCTGAGAACAGTGTATGTGTGTGTATGTGTGTGTGTCTGTGTCTGTGTCTGGGTATGGGTGTCACTTTAGGTTTACCCAGGTTCAGCTGATAGATTCTGACCCCTCAAAAAGCTTCCCACTTTCAGTTATTGGTTCAGGCCCAGACCCTGCTCACTCCTGGGGCAATTCTATTGTTGGCTCAAGTTTAAATCAGCTAGAGTGGAAAAGTGTTAAAAGTGCCTTGGGTATATAAATTAATCAGAGAACACATAATGATTAGAATAGAATCCAGGTACTTATCTACTACTACCATCTACTCCACTACTAGCATATGACTAAAGCTGAGAGAGTAACATTTAAACTTCATTGAAACATTTGCAAGAGGTTTCTTTTTGAGGGTCAATGGCCATTTTGTATTTTTCACATCTGTTCAGGTGCCTGGGAAGGATCTCACAAGGTCCTGTACCAAAGGAAGAAGACACAAATGAAAGGTGGCCCCAACCCAGGTACAGAATTGCCTAGGAGGTTGTGAGCTCATGGCTTGCAGATAGGTAAGGGGAGTTTTTCTACCCTGACCAAGCCCTTGCATAGCTTGGCACTTCAAATACTGCAGAAAAAGGAGGCCTCAGTGGTAGGGTTCACCCTTTTAGTTATCCGGAATTCTGGCTCAGTAGTGAATTAAAAGACTTTTTGTAAGCAACCCTAAATCATTAATTGACATGAATCAGCCAGTGAAATCTCATCCTTGGAAGCTCATGTAGGGTAAGGGTTAGGGATAGAGTTTGGAGGCTGGGTTGGTTTCTATAACATATACCTTGAAACAGGGCTACCCTTATCTTCTATGTGATTGCTTGGAATCCAAGTTTAGCATGCCCTAAGGAAAAATCTTGGGGATAGCTGCACTCATTTTACCACTTATTGGATAGGTAGGATTGTGGTGGGGTTTTTTTTTTTAAATAATTATTGTAAATGATACTAGTTCTTGGTTAAGTTTCCTTTAAAATAGAACTTTCAATGTTTAGAAATCTCAGTATTTTCAAAATATATGCATTGGATTGGGGTAACATAAAAAGGTTGTTAGGAGTAGGGCTAATTTCTGATTCTGTTAGTTTAGGTTAGATGTTGATACAAACTGCAAAATGAGGCACTCAGGAGTTCACAATAGGAGATTTACTTAGCCTAAACAATAATAAGAATACATTTAGCTTCTATAGACTGGGTCCCCGTGGTTCATATAATACTGAAATTCATCAGGTCACTAGGGCAAGGTTTGGTCCTGGGGCTGAGAAACGAGTGGGACCTTTTAATGCCCTTAGGTGACCAGGAAAGCAGCAATCCCTGAGGGTAAGGGCCCATCAAGTACCAAAGACAACTTTGACAACCAGTGACAAACCTATGCCTTGAGGATGTGGGGGTTACCTTTGGTAATTAGTCCTTTCACAGGGATGTTTGGAGCTTCAAATAAATTGGAAAACAACTTAAAATCACAGAGGTTTACAGTATTTTCAAAAAGTAAGGTGAGTGATATTATAAAGAAAAAAATAATTTCTTCATAACAATCAATAAAATAAGTCAACATTGATATGAAAGTCAAGCACTTGTGAAACTCTTTTTCATGAAAAAATTCAAAATTAACTTGAAAAGCTAGTGTTATTTTATGTTTTATAATTTAAATATCCTGGAAGTAGAAGAGAAAAAAGAGAAAAGAGATCTTTTTTCCCTAAGAAAATAATTAATATTTCATTTTGAATTGCCTGTTATTTTCTGGGTATGGGAGCACATCCAGAATAAAACTCACTCAAAAGAAGGAGTGGGAATGCTAACATAAGGTCTTTGCTAGAGTATAATGAGGCTAAATAAAATTTAAATGTGATTATTTAACACATTTATTTGAGTATGAATAAGCTAGCATCTGAGACCCACTGACCAACATTTATAGAACTGGAAAAAAATTCTGCTTCTTTGTATGCATTGTGTGAGTGATGATGATGATGATGATGACGATGATGATGGCAAAAATTCAACAAAGCAGGGGAATGGTGAAGAACTGAACCTCCATTAGAAAGTATCTTCTCAGACCAGCTTTCTGGGATGGCTTTGAACTCTTGCATATCATTATTTTACGCACCTTCTTTTCTTTGTGTTGGTGGTGGGGAGAAGAAAAACATGGGAGACTAGCCTTTTGGATTTTTAATCAAAGCTACTGCTCTGCTGATTGCTGTAGTGGATTTTCAAAGGGTAAAGCAAGTGGGCAAATTAAAATCCCATGTTCCTGTGGGCTAGGAGCTGAGCTTTTCAAAAAGCTCTGCAGCAAGAGCATATTTTCAATTGTATCTTACTGTTACCCTATCCTTTCTGAGATCTACATCCTCAGAACTCTTCTCTTTCCAGTTGATTAGCACAGAAAGAGAAGAGAGACAGAGAAAGGCAGACAGACAAAGACAGAAAGACAAAGAGAAGGGGAAAGAGATGGACAGAGAAAACAGAGACACAGAGACACAAAGACAGACAGACCAAGAGAGACAAAGAGAGATAGACTGAGACTGAGACAGACTGAGACAGAGACAGAGGGATGTAGAGACATAGAGAGACAGAAAGAAGGGTAGGGGTGAGGCAAGAGAGGAGAGACAGAAAGACAGAGACAGAGAATATAGAGAGGTGGAGACTGAAAGGCATACATAGACAGAAAAAGACAGAGATAGGCAGAGACCGAGAAAGTGACAGTCACAGAAAGGAAACATAAGGAAAGCATTTTACAAGCCTTAAAGCACCATATAAATGAGTAATGATTATTATTTTAAGAAAGAGAGAGGAGAAAAAGTGGTCCTATAGTAAAGGGATAAAAGCAAGAGCCCAAATAAACTGGAGTCTAAAGTAATGAACTCAATGGGCTAATAGTGACAACTGGCTGTATAATATAAATAGATTAGATAGATCAAGTTCTTCACTTGAATTTTTGCCCTACAAATCTCAACATTGGCAGTATAACACAGTGAAGAAAGAAACTGCAATCTTTGTCTTTATGTGGACAACACCTCCCACTCCCCTCTGCGTCCCAAACATTGTCACTTTAATGGAAAGTTCCTTTTTCTGAGAATTCTGTTTGTTTGGTTTTTCTTTTTTCAAATTTCAATTTCTCACTCTTAGTTAAACTTGCAGCCTACTGTTCCCTTTCCCGTGGTCCCTTAAACAGGAGAAAAAGAAGCCCAGTTGACTGTTTAGTAGTCTCGCGATTAATTCCCATAGACTGGGATTCCTAACCTTTGAACTATGATCTGTGAATAGATTTTAAGGTACACATGGACTTGGATGAAGAAGAATTATATTTGTAATCCAATGTATTTCTTTTTATGCATTTACAAACATTATTCTGAGAAGTTCATAGGTTTGTCCATATAGCCAAAGGGTCCATGATACAAAAAAAAAAAAAGAAAGTTGAGCAAATCCCATCTCGTTTTCAATCTAAAATGTAAAGCGTTAAATCGGTGTGTGTGTGTGTTTGTGTATCATCGAATGTTGAGACTGGAAGGGATCTTACAAATGAACTTCATTCAGCCTCTTCATTTCACAGACAAGTAATTCATGGACACACAACAACCTTCCACACTTCAAAATTTATAAACAATGAAATGATGGAAAGTGTTAAACGTCTGTCAAGTGGCTAAGTTAAGGAAACAAATACAGAATGTGACTCCTAGGTAGGAAACAACTGGAAGGAAAATGCCGGAGGGCTAGCCTGGACCAGGCCATTGTGATCTCTAAGGCTTCTGGACACGCCAAGAAGTGGGGCGGAGCGTTTGTTGACTGTTTAAATACTTTAATGCTGTAGCACGCGTTGGTCACTGCTCCGTCCAGGCAAAGGCTGAAACAGCATTATGTTGTGAACAAGTGCTGCGGGTGGGAAAAGGCTAAGCGGCAGACTGGGAGGCACTGAATGTTAGGGCGGTGAAAGACACCCTTTGTGCAAGCATTCTGGAAAAGGAGGAAGGGAGTTGGGCAGAGAAAAGGAGAGGTGGAACTGAAAGGCCAGGGTTGCCATGCTCAGCTGATTCCGCCAGATGTGCAGGTACATTCCAGCGGTTACAGTAGCTGCTGAAAGCTCCTGTAGGGGGCCTTGTGGATTTCAGAGATGCGACAGAAGACGAATCAGCGCACTCCTTCAACCCTTCTTTGGTAGGGGGAGGGGCGGGGAACGAAGAAGGGGGATAGTTTCTGAGAACGGAGAAGGGAATTAAAGAATTCCCTCCTCTCCTTTACATAGGTGGAGGAGAGATCACACTGGCATTAAAAACACATCACCTCCCTTGGCTGCTGTGCCAGCCATCGGGAGACCGGCGAGCCGACACTGAGAAGGGCAAGCCCCGCCTGGGTGGAGGTGTTACAGACCTTCTTACCATACCTGGGGGAAAGGGGCGCCCGGACCGCGCTCCGTTCCTCCTGCACCAAGGCTGCATGGCTTGTGGCTTATTTTCCCAGCTGGCAAACGTCACCATGAAGACAAGGGAATGCCTGTGGTGAGTTGTTTATTTTGCTAAGAGTTTGCGGTGGGGTTGGGGTGGGGGTAGAGACAGAGAATGAAGGGGTGTGGAGGAGAGGTAGGGGGAAGAGGGAGTTGGGAACTGAACTGCATTGCTTGGGTCTCCATCCACCGAAGTAGTATAAATCTCTCAGCCCTCAAGGAAGCCGCTAAGAGAAAGGACTGTGCTAAAAACTGCTCCCCATCTACAAAAATTGTCCCTTTACGCCCTTTGCATAGTTGAGCCAATTTGATGCATAACAGTGGGCGGCTGATACATATACAGCAGATACACAACCCTTCACAAAACACACTAGTTGTAAAACAGGATGTTCAGGCAGTAGGTTTCCAGTGTTCAGCTAGCAACAGCAGTTTTTCCCGGGTCACAAAATTGGCCTCTGCCTTTTCCGTTATTTCCAGAAAAAGGGTTCCTGTAAGATTAGTAGATGTGTGTGGCATATAGGTGGAGTTGATGGAAAACTTGTCCTGTGGGAATCCCAGAAAAATAGATGAAGTTAGTGCATGCTTTCTTTGTATGCGAGTGATTTTCCTTATAATTCTTACAAAGAGTTATACTGACTTAGCAGTATTTATCATTCTCGAGGATAAACCGGTTTTGTGCCTAACAGACCCCCAGAAGAATCCCACAGAAAGTATTTGTTACCCTCATCTTTGCGGCAGGTGGTTTCAGAGTCTGATGAAATGTAAGCGGGTCCTGGGCTCAGTATCACAAAGTGTAACTGATGGTAATAATTGCCTGGAAGAAAATCCTAAATACATTAGTGAGATGGTAAAGCTTTTAAGGCTTTCTTGGGAGTGAGTGCCTGGCTAATGAGAGGTTAATTTTGTTTCCGAGGGAAGACTGTGCTGGTTTCCTGAGATAAATGGCCAGGAAGCACATTACCTCCCTGGCTCTGGCAATCGGCTCCCAAATGCTTTTTGCACCTGCTACTTTCAAGCTCAGTGAGTGGTTGTAAAGATGTGAGGATCCTGTCAACCAATTTTTGTAGGTACAATTAATGAATCTTCACCCTTACAATTCTGGACAGGGTACTAACTGTTGTATCTATTATCTAATACATAGGTTCAAAAAGTAAGTGCCAGGGTCCAAGCTTTTCAAGGACTTTCGATGCCCGTTTGGCCCTCCAGTCACCATACAGGACCATAAGGGTTAAAGATGATGTAAGTACAAACAGTTGGAGAGCTTGTATTCTTTTAGAACTTATTTTATTTTAGTTCCTTGACCTCCTGGCCTCAAAATGGTAGATAACAAGGTGGGGGGGGGCAGAGGGGAGTGGGAAACATATCACATATACTGTGTTTTAAAAATTGAAACCTCAGGTCTGATACCCAGTTGCTCTTCCTTAATGCATTGTATTAAGCAGACAGACCTTGAGACCTGTGTTGGATTTCTGAAAATGGATATTATATTAACAGGGGAACAGTTAAGCCATCATGAATGCCTTCAGGAAAAGCAAACCACATTTTGTTTAAAATCCATTAATGCTTCTTGCATGTGTTTGAATTCTACCCAGTTACACATTAAATTTATGTTTTGCTGGGTCCCTGAATAGCCTGCTACCTTGTTTCCTCTTTACTGGACTAAAAGAGAAATGGGAATGAGGGAAGGAGAAGGAAGGAGGGGAGGAGGAACTAAATAGTTGGATGGATTCCTGACTTGTAAAAATCATTGATTTCAGCATATTGTTAGTTTGAAATGTAAAGTCATTATCTATCAGTGATGGAATAGCCATTCGATTCTGTTTTTCCCAAAGTTAATGCTGGGGACCTCATCTCATTTTTTTAAGTAAAAACACTGTGTGCCCTTTGAAGTCCATCTACAATGCTCTTGGGTTTAAAACCTGATACAAATTATTGATATCAATTCTAATTTACTATTCCAGTCCCTCACCTCACCTAATGCCTTGACACTTGAAAATGGGAACCTCCTTAATTGTAAAAATTAGCATTTCCCTCTAGCCAACTATACACTTATACAGCAATAAAAAGTGAATTGTTACACACATAAATCTTGAGCTTGTCAAATTTTACAACAGAGGAACAATAAAGCACCTTAGAGAGATGAAATTTTTCCTGTTAAGTGTCATTTAGTGACCCTAGAGTTTGCAAAGAGCGCCCTCTATTGTTGGCAAACTCCAGAGTACCTGTCATCATAGTAATGAAGCTATGAAAACCTCAGAGAGTCAGGAAAAAAACAAACAGACCTAAATTATTTTTTTAAATTTTGAATATTTGTTATATGCTGAGTTACAAAGAATTTATGATGCTTCTTTCAATTGGTTCCTAAAACACAAGTTTCTGGATTAAAGGAGGACCAGAAAAGCAAATTTTATAAATTGTGTCAGTTTTATTACAGTATTTTGGAATATTTAATTGCACCTGCTTATTTTTTTAAGGAAAAAAAAACTTCCATTGCTACAATTTTGATTTACATAATCTATATTATAATTACTTATATCCTACAAAATAGTTGTGCCAACACAATAAAACTTTGGTATGTAGCAAAATCTTGAAGTATGCTAATTTCACATCTGATTCCCTACGAAAAATCATTTCTCCAGGTCGTAGTAAAGCTATTATTATGTTATAACATAGTCAAAGCTTGAATTATATCTTAGGCAGTGAAAGTTATGTTTACTACTTGAGTCACCCCATCACGTGTAGTAATTATGCAATTAAAACATATGGCTGAATAGCGGAGGCAATCCTGCATAAAGGCCCCAGTCTTGGCTACAGCAGAGTCTGTAAGAAGTAAATTGTCAAATTGAGGGAGGATGCTGCAAGTCCCCACTATCCAAACTTATTTGAATAGCACACTGTTTAAAAAGGGGGGAGAGGGGGAAGGGTTAATGTGTCCATGCCTGATTGTTTCCAAATAGTGTCAAAGTTGTGATATGGGACCTATGGACAAAAAAAAACATCAGTCATGACTTGATTAGGTTAAGGACGATAATATGTTTTCTAGGAGAGATAGGCAAAGTGGTTTCAAGTAGGTTAGGTGGCAGTCCACAGCTACTGATAATCATAATGATTCTATCTGACTACAGGATTCTGGCTTTCACCCTTTTCCGTCTCAGTCTCCTTACAGACAAATTGGCCTTTTCCTTGTTTCCAATTCTGGAAAAAATAAGAGATTTAGTTCATGAGTTGGTTGCTAGGGCCTGGGATACCTTACCTAGGCTCAGGCATACAACAACATTAACACATTTATATAGCATTTTAAGCGAAGTGCTTTCCTAAGCCTAAACCTGTGAGGCAGGTAGGGCAAGTAGTTACCTTTTTTCAGATGAAGAAACTGAGGCTATGAGAAGTTGTGACTTGCCCTATCCACGATTTCACAATTAGTTAAGCATCTGAGGCTGAGCATTAACTTCTCATTAATCTAAATTATCCTCTAATAGGGCATGTTAAAGTTTGCCCGCTGTGGGTGAACTAAGTAGACACTAACCCACGGGCCCAAACTAACCAGCTCTTAGCTGACAGTCACTAACTGGCCACTAAGCCCTGACTTTGATGGTGAAGTCGAAGGAAAGAAAGCTTTCTCCAGCGCTGCAGGAGCGCCACTGGGCGATCCCGGCCCCGCGAAAGCGGCCAGTGAATTCCAAGGCGAGCCCACGGAGGCCTCTGCCAGCCAATCAGCGGCCCCGACCCGCCAGCCACATTCCGACTCCGAAAAGCCCGATTTCTTCCCTGCGATGTTGCACTCTCGAGATCTGAGTCGGAATGCGGTGTCCGGGGAGGTGATTGGCTGCGAAGGTGAAGCCCCGCACACGTGATCCGAAAACGCCGCTCCGTAGGAGCAAGGAGGGAGGTAGGGCGTGGCCGGCGGGGGCGGGGAGCACGCGATAGAAAACAAGCGAGCCAAACTTGGGAGGCCGAGTGGGGCCCTCTTAAAGTAACCCAAAAGGAGGGACCCCTCCCCCGCCCGTCTGTTTATATTAGGCTACATTAAAAGAGCAAACACCAAAACTGTAAAGACAGGAGGCGGGCTGGGCAAGGGTGATGGCCAGTCGCCTCGTCTCCGACACCCCGGGGCAGCCGAGCTCCCACCGCCCTGGGCGGGGAAGGCGGGCCCCGGAGGCCCTGAGAAGTGTCGGCTCTGTCTGGGTCTGCTGGCGCTCGCGGCCCCTGGGACGCCGCTGAGGTAGGAGGAGGGCGCGGATTGGCTGCGGGCGCGCCCGACGTGGGAGGGGAGTGCGGCGCTGAGATTGATTGATGGGGCGGGGGAGGGGCGTGCGGAGACACCCGAGCGAGGCCGGGCCCCGCGCGCACACTCGCCCCCCGGACCCGCGCGGCGCACGCAGCCCCTATCCCGGCCTCGCCGGAGCCCGCGCGCTAGCGGCTTTAGGAAGTGGGGAGGCAGGCGGCGAGACTCACTGACCTTCTTTGTGTTCTTTTCTCCTCCTTTTGCGATGCTGCCGGGGGCCGTTCTCCTCCTCCTCCTCCTCCTCCGGCGCGGTGTTCCCTGCTGCTGCTGCTGCTGCTGCGGGGGCGGCGGCCGCTTCTCGCCGTCGCGGGACTGAAGGAGGAAGAAAAGGAAGCGAGGCCCGATCGCGTGTCCATGCAGCAGCCCCGGCTCCCGGGCCCCCACGCCGCCGCCAGAGCCCCGGAGGAGACCTGCATGGACGGGCATGGGGAGAGCTGCCCCTTCCTGCGCCGCCGCCGGGGCTGAGCCGCGCCGGCGCCGCCTCCGTCGCCGCTGGCGCTCGCCTCCGCTGGCCGCCCTGCTGCTCCTGCTCGGCCTCGGGGGGCTGCCCGCAGGTACCGACCGGCCCCTGCCCCGGGGGGGGTTGGGGGGGCGCGTCCACACATGCCCCAGCGCCCACGCACGCGCACCCACACCCCACACCGGGCTCCAGTGACGGGCGCGGGGATGGGTGGAGGGGGAAGGTTGGAGAGGCGCACTCACTTTTACTGTACTTGGAGATGCTCCCCCGAGAGAAGTTGGCCACGGCGTGGTGGTGGTGGTGGGGAGCCCACGGAAAAGATTCGATTTCTTTGTTTCTGGCTGAAACCTCTAGAGATTGCAGAGCAAACGCGCGCGCGCGAGTGTGTGTATGTGTTGTGTGTGTGTGTGTGTGTGTGTGTGGCTTCAGGACACCTGGCTGGCTTAGCAAAACCTTGTAGTTGGAGCAACTGAGACAACTTAAAAACATTTGGCAAGCCTGAGAGATGCGTGTAAGATGGCCCCTTCTCACGAGCCTTCCCTTCCACTTTGCTCAGACTTCTGAGAGGTCCCCCCTGGGTGAGAGCCTGAGGGAGCTGCAGGGAAGTGGAAGAGGAGTGTTGGTTTTGAGCTTTAGGCAAATGCTCCGGATGCATTATTACTCTGCGATCGTATTTACTAAAAGTCCGGGATCAGATCGAGTTTCCGCTGCTGCCTCCTCCATGCTGGAGAGAAGGAGCCTTGGGCTGTTTCTCTGGAGTTGGGGGGTTGCGTGCATTTTAACTGGAATGTGGAAACCAGTATGTAGCTTAATCGCACCGTAACTAAAATACTTTTAACCGACTCCGTATTTGAAAAACGTGGTTTAAAGCATTTTTCAATTCTCTCCCTAAAAACTTGTGGCCAGAAACATTTTCTGGCACTGTAGATAGGGTGTGAGAGAGGTTAATATTTGCCAACCGTTGTATAGTCCGTATTATTCTTCCCTAATGAAAACAGCACTGTAGGTACTTTGATTTGGGGCAGCACGAGAAGGAAATCAATCTTAGATTGGTTAGATTGGGGGTTGATGTGTTAAAAATCTATTGATTAATTCCCCTTAAAAAGAGTACCAGGTTTCTTTGTAAGGCATTGACTTAGGGGGAAAAATGTATTGAAAACTGAAAAGGGATTCTCTCTGAAACTGGAAGTTTTACCCTATTACTTCAGGATGAACACCTTTTACTTTTAGATGAACACCAATCACCAGTGCTTATATCAGCAAAGTATGTGAGTCCTGTGCTTTTCACGCGACTGAGATGTCTGTTGTAATTGTCATTTATTTACTAGGTTGCACCAGCCACTTTAAAATCGGGAATGTCTTTAAGTAGTGAGGGGAAAAAAAACCAGAAGAAAACACTTTGCTTCTTGGCGAAGCAGTACAACCAATTTTATCTTGTTTCCTATTGTAACTGTTGATATGAGGGGAAGATAGAGGGCAGACCTTAAGAAGTATGTGTCAGGTTTCAGAATTAAATTTTTAAATGAAATTTTATTTCCTTTGAAAAATAAATAGCTAATTGTATGCTGTATATCCAGGAATATTCTTTGACAATATTTAAAAGGTACATTGTTTTAAAATGATTAGAGGATCTTTGAAAAGGTGAGAGGAGTCATCTCAGTGCTTGCATCACTTTCTACTTGGGCTCAAAGAAAATAAAATTGGACCAAATGAGTGTTTTAACAAAAAGGCAATTTTAATAATCAAATGTTTTGTATTGTGTGGATTGATGTGTAAAGTACTAGGTATCTGCAACTAGAAAATATAAAACACAGTGTCATGCTAATAATTGTAGTGATAACTAACATATATAACATTTTAAAGTTTGCCATATATCTTCTCATTTGAGCCTCACAATAACTGTGTGAGATAAACACTGTAGGTATTTTACCCTCTACCCTTCTTTCCCTCCATCATGAGTGAGGCTCAGAGGGATGAGGGAATTGAGGCTCAGAAATTAAGTAACTTGCCCATAGTTACATAGTGTCAGAGGTGGGATTTATGCTTAGTCTTCTGACTACAAGTCCAGCAAGCCCTCTGATATACCAAAACTTCCAGTGGTATTTAATGTTGTTTTTGTTGTAAATGTTAAGCTAGGCCTGTTTTAGCCTTGGCTACTCTGGTACTTCATGCCTTGATAATGATGGAAACCCTTTTGGAAGTATGGAATTTGGTCCTTGAAGTTATTAATCTCTTGGGTAGGCTGCAAAAAACAACAAAAACCTCTTCTTGGAAAATTAAGGCTTCTTTGTTTAAAAATTTGGAACTTGAAACTTAATGATTTTTTTAAAGCTTATTTTTTATACAGCCTCACTTTATTAAGGCAGTAGTTGAGAGATTTCTTTGAACATTTGTTTCCATCTGGCCCAAGCAATTTATGTTCTGGAAAAGGATTGTCTAGCCTTCTTTCTTTAGTGTGAGCCCTCTAATAAGAGCAATACTTTCTGAAAATGCAAAGAATGATTTTCATTTTGGGGATCCTAGTCAGGTGCTTTTTGCAGATGGGCAACCATATGTTTTATCACTGTAATCATGGGATTTGCCTCAGCACTCATGTGGCTTAAAGATTCATTCTTTTTAGTATAGCTTGCACATATCTCATATTGTCAAAAAAGTCATCACATTTCAAAATTGTATGAGTAAATTTGGCTCATTTATTTGTGAGTTTTGTGTTGAAATCCCTGGCAATAGGATCTTTTGTAAACACACATCCATTAGCACATTCTTCTCCATTAACTGAAACAAAAATAGAGCAGCTAATCTTCCTTCACATGAATAACAAATAACTTGATGAGCAAAACAGTGAAACCTTTACCTGTAAATTTTTAATTTACTCCCTTGGGAAAGCGTAGAGTGCATTATTCACATATTTTTTAACCAAGCTCTGCATTTCCTGATTGTGGATCAAATATGGAGCAGCTTGCTTCCTCATGTACTTCTTGGCTTTCCTTTGCTAGATCTTTGAGACTGTTTCTATTTGGCCTTGTCTTGGCATTTTGACAGGAGGTTTACTTTACCACTTATAACAGGCAGAGTGTGCATTGCCATTATAAATTCATGAAGCCTAGATATTTCTGGGGGAATGCTGCAAATAAGTTATAATAAAGAAACTTGGGGTGAGGAGTTGAGATTGATGAACCTGGGCCTGTATTTCCCCCCTCCTTCCTCTACCATTCCATACTAAAAGACCAAACAGCAGTCCAACACTATTTAGTTCCTTATCCCTGGAATATGTGGTTTCTGTTTTATGTAAGATTTCATGAAGGGATCAACATCCACCTACCAGCTAAAGGAAGGGAGTGGGAGAAAAAGAGAAAGCAAAGGGGTTAGAAATTTAATTCTTCTCCCTTTTCTGTTTGGACAGTTAGTGCATTTGCATTTCCACACCACTACTTTTGATAGTTTATGACCATTTGAAATAATTACAAGTAGATGTATGCTTGGTTGAATTTTATAGACCATAAAAAGAACAAATAGGCACAGTAAGTTTAGCGGAAAGTTCTTGTGCTATCACACAAGTATAAAAGCTGGATGTTAACCAAGTTATCTTAAGACCATATTTTCATTTCTTTACTTCCTGCTATGCTATGAATCAGTTGCTTGAGTCTTTACTACCATGGCCACTGCTAATGCATAAATGATAATACCTAATAGAGAAAATGTAGCCTTCAATGGAAGGTAGAAGGCAGAAAGAGCACTCAATTTAATGTCAGAAGACTTGAGTTTGAATCTTGGCACTTACTTATTTTACCTGTTAACTTTGGTGTCACCATCTATAAAATTAGGGGCTTGGATTCTATGACCTGTAAGGACTTTTTCAGCTCTAAATCTATGATCCATGATCCAATGAGGACTGGGAATCAATAGTTAAGTGTTAGGAGTCAACCATTACTGTTTATGTTTAACAAAACTAAGCCTTCTGAACTTTATCTTTTTTTTTTCTTATCTGTAAAATAGCCTTAACTCATTTTTTTGTAGTATAATGCTTTGAGAATGATCAAGTTTCTTTTGAAGAGAATGGCTTAAAAAAGCACCTACTTTAACTACTCTAAAAAAAGTACCTACTTTAACTACTCTAAACTTTGAACTCTTAGAAAATAGGACCCAAAGCCATCAGCTGTTTTTGTGATGGATGCCTTAAAAGAAAATGCAAATTTAGGATTATAGTTACGGTTCAGTAATTGTTTTCATTTGTCCAATGTGCAATATTCACTCCTGTGGTTTTGAATCAGTTAAAATTAACATCAAAGCCTAGGATTTCTTGTTTCCTTTTTTTTTTTTTTAATTTAAAAGGTAAATGGGGGAATATGATGTTTCTTTATATATTTTCTAAATTTCCTAACAAAAATGATATCACCAATGGTTTATTATGGACTTTAAAAAATTCCCACTAAAACATGATAAAGTTCTTTTGGGTTCAAATTTAGAGTCAATGTTCTAATGTAAGGTTGAATTGGGATTTATTTAAATAATTGTTTTATTTTTAATACCCAGAGGTACCCATGGCTTGATCTGTATTCTTGTAGGTCCACTTCTATATTCCAGTATTTATATTAGGATAAATACTGATTTTGTTCTCATTATGTGTGCTTTCATAATTCAGGGACAAACTATAAAGATGTTTTGGCAGTTATTATTTTGTGTTTTATGGCATATGTTATGCGTTATTTCTCCTTAAGAAAAAAGGCAGTAACTATAGTCACATGTAGAAA